TTATTCAGAGACTTTGTGCGTCGTTAAAGTAAATAACTCACAAAGAATAATATATCATGAGATAACAATACAGTAATTTTGAAGGAGTTGGATTTTTCTGCAATGAATTCACAACTGCAAGCTTGTGAATGACCTTAAAAATTGTGAAATGAAATAATAATGGATTAAATAAAATGTGGTAATGATATATGTCATATCAAATTCCATGTTGGTGCAATGTGCAACACTCAGATCTGACAGACTGTAGGTCATGAGATCAATTCTTGCTCGTGCACATCCAGTGGTGGGAGGTTAAACCATGAAAGGTGAGTTTCTTTCAAGATCGGCTACTGATTACCTTCCCCGACACTAAGTTCACGGATAACAACGCTTCTCCTAGTGAACATGGGAAGTTCATTACTTATTCGTGCATATCCAGTGGTGAGAAATAAAACCACTCTGCTTAATATGAAATGCGAGCTTATTCTGATGGTGTGACTCTAATGATCCACTCCGTTTCGATTTGTCAACTGCCAACTCTTACTCCAAATTGAATTTCCAATAACAGATCGTAAATAATTGCAACGATCACTTTTGGCTGCTATTCAGCGAGTTAATGCAAAATTTAAAGAAATAACTAGCAAAGAACAATACACCATGATCATATAACATTAATATTTTGAACTAGTTAAATTTTTTCTGCTATGAATTTACAATAAAGTGAAAATATATTCGAAAGACTTACTGAAAGACGGTTAATGAAATAATTTTGTTTATAAATTTACTGAAATTAATTTAAAATATTAATTCACTTTAAATGCTTACCATCGTTTTCGATTCCTAAAAGAAGCACAGATTCTAGTTATCTTGACTTTTCGTAGTTATTTAGAATGTATTAATTGTTTATTACGTTTAAAAACGTATAGGCATATTACTATATGAATAAAATCAAATAATGTATTTTTTTGTAAATCATAAAATATTAATAATACTCGGTCTCTTGGCTTCATATTCATATTCATTCTCTTGACCATTCAATTTTCTACGGCCCGTCATTTTTTTTTCTATTTTTGGTGCTTGCAATATGGTCTTTAAACTAAAATAAACTGTATAGAAAATTCTTTCAATTGCTTGCCTTTGGGTATCAGTGCACGAATAAAATTGAATTATCCAAAATCGATGAAACTCACGAATTAGGCGAGCTGATTACTACCGTACTTGTATTTTTTGTGCAAAGTAGTATTTATCTTAGTATGCCTACGGTTTTTTGTTTGTTATTTTTTAGTAAATTGTTGTAGCATTTTTCCCAACCCTCCTTATTACTTTAATGGAATATAATGCTGCTTGTGATGAAATTGACGCGTTACAATATGACGGAAAAATATGTTGTGCACATTATTATCCTCTTAGTGGACCTTACTTTTGTTTATCGCATTGCATACCAAAAAAGATTAAAATCGGACAATGTGTCATGCGAAATTTTTCAGAGGTTGCACTGTACTTTCAATCCATTTGAGTGTTCCGAGAGATGTTTTAACACACGAGTATAGAGTACCAAAATAACGCTACACCACCTGGAAAAATATAAAAGAACCAAAAAGTTAGAAGGCTTAATTGAAGGCTTATTTAGTAATTTGAGAATCTATTTCTAAAAATATGCTTGGTTTTGACGATTTGACGGAAGACATTTGAACTCCTTACAAGTGACTTGCGAAAAAGGTTGCTATTTTGAGGCAGCAGTAGAAAAATATTTGCAAATAAATAAAAATTTATCATGGAATAAAGGAGTCTCATTCCCTTACAATACTACCGATTTACTGTTTTGTCCTTCAAAGTCATTGATGCTTGTCTGTAAAAAGTGTCTTTCTTCAGGACAAGCAGCTCCTTCTATTTGCTTACCCGCAGAGAACTCTTAAGAACCATAATCATAATGATCATATATACGATTAAATATTTCCGAAATTTCATTTACTGTACTTGAAATATTTTTTTAGTATAGGAATCAGTAAAAACGGAAAATAAACTATTTCAATCCAAAAGATACTTAACTCATTTAATCAGTGTTTGGTTTCGAAATGATTGTAATGGCATAAAAGCTCAAGCAAATCTTGTTATGGGTTAGATATGTCATATTACAGAGTTCCAATTTCACATTATTTCGGTTAGAAACGCAAATATACAGCATTGCCACAAGGAAGCTATACGCCACCACAAACTAAAAGATAGGAGCGATATTAGTTCAACGTTATCGTTTTTAGCTAAATGACCCATGAAATTGGGTCATTTGCACATTTACCTGCCAAGCTGATCAGAAAAGACCTGCCAACGTACAATTAAGATATGAATATTTAGGTTTTTAATTTATATCAAAAACTGAGAAGTTTAGTTTAAAGTTCACATTATATCTTAGATTATATTTGTTATATTTTAATTTGAGGTCGTAAATGTTACCTTAAGAAGCGCTTAGTTTGGATTGGAAAACAATTGCTATAAATTAGATTTTTTGAAAAACAATTTAATATGTAAATTCACGTTGAAAATAAATTTAAAAATCCAATAATATTTTCAAGCAAATGCATAAAAATCCGTTAAATTGATTCAGCAAGATGGAGACAGTTAATTTTTTACCAGTCGAAATTTTATTGCAAATATATAAAGACTGTTCCGACTCTATGGGTGGGCAATCAAGCATTAAATCCCAAGGAAATAAAGGTATATATGCGTCCTTTTGGTTGTTCTAACAGTAGCAGCTAATGAAAATACGCAATACTTCAACTCCTATCTTCTTCCTGAACTTAAAATCGCACTATGTAGTCTCATTACTGAAGTAATGGCAAAGGACGTTTTACATGTATGTTTATATTAGTTAATTATTTTTGCACCATTTCCACTAAAAATTATTTAATTGGCAATTTAGAAGTTTCACAATGCCTTAAATCCACTGGAACATCTCGCATTGAAGTTATATGCTAACAATGCACGCAAAATAAATGTGAGACATTCAATTAAGCAGATAGAGCATATTCCATGGGCAGCGGAATTCTTTACAGCAAATCATCGACGTATATTACCACTACATTATTACTTAACTCGATCAGAATCAGCCATTATAATTCAGAAGGTTTGGCGGGGTTATATGGTAAGATCAACACTTATTTCACATCAGCAAATAAATATGAACCTTCCTTTCCAAAAGGTAAGAAAACGAATGGATATTCAAGAACTGCGCAATTGGCAGAGAGAATGGAGAATACAACTGCTAAATAGCAATCCCATCCCTGATGCAGTTCAATCCGTTTCAAATGCAAACGTGGCATATAGCCAGTGACGCATCGCAAGTTACCATACACTTTATTACTCTAAATTACACCTATTATATAATGATGACGCTTTGTGTTTATGCAGCTGCTTCGACTCCAGTAAGAATAATTTAAATTGCCCTTCGGAGAAAGCATAGCTTCTGCCTGCCATTAACCAAAAATCGAAGTCCTTTATAACTTGCTCTCCGTCACCTCAATCTCCCCCTTCTACCACGCGCACATATATTAAATTTCAGATAAATGTTGTCATACCTTACTGAAATCATTCATTTTAATTTCGGTTAATATACGTGAAGATGTGTTGTTGCAACTTTCAAGATGATCATATTTCCATCATTCGCTAGCAAAACAGACAATCGCTTGCCCCACATCGAGCATGCTTTATTGTAGTGTCTTTTAGGTTAGAGATCACATTTTAAATTCAGTGTTATGTACTAGAAATGGAGCTTGATTAAGTCAGGAAAAAAACAACCAACAGACGGCAGAGAGAAGTCAGGCGACTGAAAGGAACGAATATTTAATGTTAGCAAATTATCCACGGACACATACAAATACGAGACCACAAAAACGAAAAGAGAAAGAATCTTGGGTCAAAGGTGGTGAATAGAGTTATTTAATCGATCAGCACACAACAGCATTGAAATGGCGTAGAAAGGAATGAGTGTGCAATAAAACAACATCTTTGCAAGGTGCAACTTTTTGGTAAAGTAAGATGTCAAATGAAAAATAATCACGCTTTGTTGGTAAATTATTTCTGAGTGATTTGAAGCGCATTAAGGTGGTTCAATGGTCGCTGCTGCGGCTTTAATGGCTTCACCGTAGGCCATAAGCGGTTGAGCTAATTCGGCAGGAACATGACCACGACGGAGAAGACCATCAAGGAAGAGATTGAGCACTGCCAGTTGTTCATCTTGAGGCAAGACAAAGACTTGCTGGAGTAAGTTGCTTGGTGCTAGTGGCCTAGAAGAAATTAAAATGAAGTTAATATCGATTTAATGGGGTTCCATTAAGTTCAAAATGGTGAGAATTGATAAGCAGCAAACACCTTGACCAACTCCAACTGTCAGCTCTTGCCCTTCACCGGACATAACGCGGCATGAAAAATCATCCAATTCAAACATTCAATCAAGCGATCAGCAATTTTCAAATATTTCAGAGATATTAGTACCCACAAACAGTAGGATACTACAAAGTAAGTAAAAGCTCTAATTAGAATGCAAATAGCTCAATGCTTCCATAAACCAAGCCAAATAGGACACACTTGCTGTTGCGGGTGGATTATCTACTCTTTCTGATCCCTCCCAAATTAGTTAGTTTATTGACTTAACTCGCTATTCCCCTAACGTATAAGCTCTACAATGATTATCGTTTTGATATTAATCAAGTCACGCACAGAAGCCCTGACACTAAAATCGATTCTACCATCATTATTAAACATCCGTCTTAGGAACAAAGACGAGACATCATGAAGCCTGTATGACGAGAATTGTATCACGCCTATGCTAGTCAGATACAATGAGTGCGGTTGATCATTTAGCGAACTGGATGCGTAATGATGAGGGCACCGAATCTGGGATCTCTTATACAAGCTTAATTACTCAGCATTTTTGACCTTATTAAAAAGGTAGATTTCAATTTAGACAATAACCAATATTTCCTCAAACCTGCATCTCATGTCCGAATTAATGAGTCCTTCTTCCAATCTTGGTGAGAGGTATATTACTTGAATTAACCTCCGTGTATGAACTTTCAAGATGTCATCGCAAATAACTAATTTATCTCAGTAGGTTAGATTTTCATGAAGAATAATTAATAACTATTCACCTTCCATGCCAAGGAAATAGAAACCTTGCAGGAGTTTTTTCTATACAAATGACTCCGACTGAATTCTGATTGGAACATGCAACTAATGCGAAACTTCATTTGTTCTCTTGCTCGTCGATTCAATTTCCGCAAAAAAATTGAGTTGATTCAGAAGAAAGTCACATTCACTCCTCTGAATAGAGAAAATACAGCGAATACCCTAATGATAAACTGTCATGTTTTTGTTGAAGTCTATTTGGAAAAGATATGTTAGGAGAATGACTCGAGTGTAATTAAGAAGAAAAGATGAGGCAGCGAAAGAAACACCACATCTCTACTGTTATTAGCTCTTGAAATATGCCGATAGGGAATATATATACCAAAACCCAAAAGCGATACAAAAACTCAGGCGCCCAAACACACCAACAGTTTACTTACTTGACAAACGAGTTGTAGTAAAAGAAGACAAACCATCCGACAAATATTTGACAATCAAATCTATCAAGGATGCCTCCATGCCCGGGAATGACATCTCCAAAGTCCTTAATCTTGAAGGCACGTTTGAATCCACTTGCAAAGAACCCACCAAAGGGACCAATTATGGAGATGAACGCACCAATCATGAGACAGTGAAAGAAGTAGGGATATTGCGGGAATTGCTTCACTGGTAAGAAGGGCTAAAAGAAAACAAGTATTAGACCTACGCTACTTAATTCATTTCAAGTAGTTAAGTGTAAAATGCTGATAGTTTGAATTGATTTAGAGATTCTGTTTATACAGAGTCTGTGTGATAAGGTTAGTTAAAGTTACCGTGCGATTTAGTTTGCCTTTAACCTGAAAGGTTTGGTCTTCAATTAATAATTTCTTAATAATAAACACTAAAATTTAAAGTTCATGCAGTTATCGATTTAAGAATTGGAGTAACTGGTTAAGTTAAAAAACAGTACTCATAATAATGCAAATAGAAGAGATGAAAGTTGAAATAATTTTTATACACACACGCTTGATAAGTCAAAGATTTTTTAACAGAACCATTTGAAAACCATGACATTACTTCGCAAGGGGTACTAATTAAGAGCATTTACCAGCCATCTGGAGACATTGTGCATGCGAGGAATAAAGATAGCATCAGGAATGCAGTCCATGGAGAGAGCTCCAACTCTGTCGTCGTATTCAATTGGGCAGATGAAGTGCTTGTTATCGATCATGCTCCAGGCTAAGAAGAGACCGACAAGAAGGGAACAGATCCCACCTCCGATAAAGCCCTCCCAAGTCTTCTTTGGTGACACCTTAATCAGCGGGGTCTTGCCGAAGAGCATTCCAAATACATAGGCGAATATGTCATTGGAAATCACCATAGCCACAGGAACTAGGAACCTAAATAAGAAAAAAAGATGGCATCGAACAGTGATGACCAAGGGCGAAGTTTAAAAATTCATATACTAAAATTATTATTATTTCAAATGGCAGGCTTTGTGATATTT